CCCTTCCTCGTGGGGTGGAAGCCCGTGGGCCTGCTGGCTGCCTCAGTAGCTTCAGATCTAACATTTGGGGCAGCTTGGCTATTTGATCACACCCCCATGGCAAAGCAGGTTGGAAAGTGACACCTGCCAGCTGTAACTTCTGCAACTAAAGAGTGGGGTGTTTTTCTTAAGAAGAGAGTTTAAATGCTGGTCAGCCAAAAGCAGCACCAGACATCCACTTTGTGATATGAAGTCATTACAGCGGTTCAGCTCAGCATGACTCATAATCTTTAGCTTCTTCGAAGTAATGTTTGCTATTTGGTTATTTTCCACTGTGTTCAGTGTTGCTAAGCATACAGAAAAGGAAAGAAATCTATAGAAGAAATGTAAGGGGAAGAACTTGACTTCCAGGACGGGGACTGCCTCCGTGGTGGAGTGTGGCCCGTACAGGAAGCCTCTGGGTTCAGGCCCCTCGCCACAGACAGCAAAACAGTGCAGAAGACATCTCTTTATCACGTTTACTTTTTCCTGGAGATTTTCCCACACAAATATACATGATCCCTCTTGTTTTTGAATGTAGAACATGGTTCCTCCTCAGAAGGGCAAGAGAAAGCTCTCATCCGTTTACCACACGCAGGTTAAAATCCAGCATCTTCCAGCACATGGTGGTGTTTCTCCCACATCTGAATACAGCTTTCATGCTCTGCTGACCTGTAAAAATAAAGACGAGTTATCTGCCTCCAATATGTCCAGTTTAAATGTAAAGTAGTAACAACCAAAATTAAAATCCCCATGTGGGAAGAGGAAGAAATGCGAGCCGTCATTCACAGGAACCCTCAGACTGCCCTGGGTGGACACGCAGAGGTGCACGGTGCTGTGGGACAGGTGGCTGCCTGCGGTCCTTCCTGAGGCTCCCTGCAGCGTGACACAGGGAAAGGACCCGGAATGCTGCTCTCTCTTAAATCCCTCGGGGTCTCCTCAGGCGGGCGTGTATGCTTGTACTGGGGCCCCGCAGAACCTCCTTGCCGTGCAGAGCAGCGTGATCGAGGGGGCCGTCTCAGCCTCACAGTGTGGCCTACGCATGCACGTGTGCCGACCTTCCTCCTGCCAGACAGCTTTTAGTTGGATAACATGGTATGTCATCTGGAACACTGAAGGTAAATCACCATAATGCATTATTGTGTTTCCATTAAATTGCTTTTATTGTGAGTGTGACACAAAGATTTTGTGATGCTGAAAAATAAATTCCCTTTATGTCTGTAGGTGTGTCACATAGTGGAACATTAAGACCAGTTTTAAAGGGCTACAATGGGCAGTATCCTGACAGCTACCCTGCACAGTCCTTAGCTCCATTTCTTTGATTCCATCCAGTGACAGGGAGAAGTGTATCTCCCTGATGTCTGCTGTAAGTCATGGTCTTGGTTATCCTCCACTGACGCCAACGGACAGATTTTAGAGCCACGGGGTACCAGAGGGCCTGTGCCCTCCTCCACTTGCCTGTGTCATAGATGAGCCAGGAACTTGGGTAGCATGTGTGACTTAGAGAAGGCCACACGGCCAGCTGGCTAGTGATGGGGCTGGCCTAGGCTGCTGGTTTCTGACTCCTGCTCTGGTGTTAGTGACAGTAATGCCATCAGGTGATGACTGTTACAGTTTAGACCTAGAATGTCTCCCACAGCCTCGTGTAATAAGAGGTGGGCTTTGGAAGCTGAGTGGTCACTGGGACACTGTGCTCACCCGAGGATCAAGCCACTGAGGCCTGGCCGGGAAGTGGGTCCTGGGGTGGGACCTGGAAGGGTGTCTTCTTGTCCCAGCTTGCTTTCTCTCCTTCCTGGCTGCCATGGAGAGAGCAGCTTTCCTCCACCAGGCCCTCCCACCGTGGCATTTCTGCCTTGCAGCCGGTTGGCCACGGCTGAAGTCAAAACCGTGAGTCAGTTTAAGCCCTTCCACCTCTAAGATCTAGAGTTGCATGTTTAGTCCCAGTGATGGGAAAACGACTAATACTAGACTTTCTCTGGGTAAGTGAAGACTGTCCTAAGTACTGTGTTTACTTTTCTTAATTCTCACAAAAATCCTATGTGGTCCCTTTGTTACCATCATTGTCACGTCACAGTCGGAGACTGTGTCCAACAGCAGCAGTTGGACACAGGGCCTGTCCCCCTGTGCCTGTGCTTTCCCCACCGCCGCTCGGAGCTACCCTGGCTTCCCCTCCGCACCCAGCCAGGCCCGCAGACCACACAGGAGCTCTGTTATGGATCTAGCAGCTGCATAAATCCTGGTTCTGTCACTTCCTGTATAGCTCGGGGAATTGTGTGGTCTGCTGGGGCCCTTAGATGCGGCATCTTTTTTTTATGTAGTTTTTGTTTTGTTTTTGTGTTTTCAGAGTTGTTAGGAAAGGCTGTGCGGATAAAGGAGCCTGTAGTCAAGGATGCGTGCTTGCTCACTGTGGTCCCTTGGCTGGTTCTCTTTACACAGCAGGAGCAGGCTGTCAGCTCTCTTGTCTAAAAGCCAGATGTTAAACTTAAAACAAAATAGAATTGATTGTCCTGCAAAGCCTACGCCCTTGGATTTTTAGAAATCTCACTTCCTCTCCGAGTCATCTGTTTCCTGTGCACACTCCCAGTCCCCATTTTCAAGCCTCACTGAAGTCTGCCCTATTTGATGGCAGTTTCACCAAAGCATTGTTCTCACAAGGTGGACAGGAAAGTTGCAGGGAGAAACCAGGTCTCCCTCGCCAGCTTAGCACCTCCCATGACTGTGTCACCACTGGGCAGAGCTTGTCAATTTTGATGTGATTGTTTGAGGATCATTATGCAATAGAGTCATAAATAGTAAGTAGCAGCTTCATGAAACTGAGGTCTGCTCTGTAGCCACATCTTTTGAAAGACATTTTCCTTATTTGTTCTGTGCATGTTGTTTTTTTTATTTGCTGAACACTTGAAAATAAATTGCAAACAATGTAAGGTTCATGTCTAAAGATTTTCACATGTGTATTTTAAAATAAATTCTTTTTTGTTCCTTTGAGACAGGCTAACAGTAGATATTGCAGACTGGCTTTGAATTTACTATGTCACCCAGGCTGGCCTTGGACTCAAGGCAACTGTCCTGCCTCAGCTTCCCACGTGCTGGGCAGTTGTTTGTAGTATATGCAGTTCTCTGTCCCAAACAATTAGCAGGTGGATATCCCATCTATCATGCAGTCCACAGTTATATTTTCTTTACTTGCCGTGAAACTGATTTTATGCTGCTTTATTTGTAGGGTTGCTTATTTTGTTTTGTTTTCCCAAACAAAAGTCAAACTACACTGACAACACTTAATGGTCACTTCTCTTTGATAACTTAGTCTAGAATGATTCCCTCACTTTGATGATTATTTTTATTATGTTTGTGTTTAATGGTGTTAAAAGACTGCTCTAATTGTCTTGAGTAGTACCCTATCTTTGGGTTTTGTCCAAGCCTCCTGTGAGACTGTGTGTGTGTGGGGGGGGGGGTTATTTTGTCACTCTGTCCCCTGTGTTTTTGAACACTGGAAGTTATTCTCTCAAAAACTTGATTGGAAAAGGTCATATTTTTTTGTCTAGAACAGCTTGAAAGATGGTATGTCTCTCATATCACGAGGCGCACGTGATTGCCCCCACTGTCCGCCGTGCTCTCCGACCACTGAGGTGGTGGGAGCCAGCTCTCCCGTGTTAGATTCCTTTGCCCTCTGTGTCCTATGGCAGAGCTCACGTGTAAAAAGATTCACTGGGTGACTGACCCGTTTCTCCACGTTCGCCTCATGGTTTTAGCCTCCGTTGCTGAGCCGTGCTATCCTCAGTTATTCCAGTAGACACTGATAATTTTTAAATCTATCCCTCCTTCTTCATGTATCGACTAACTTTTCTCTGTAGGTCAGCACTTTCCCTCACCAGCAGGGGAAGCGTGGGGTCTTGTTACAGTTCCGATCAGTGCGATTGCTGGCTATCAGTTTTCTAAGATGCTGTCTTCGGGTGTGTGGGACCGAATTGTAGGTCAGTCACAGTTTATGCTTTGTTGCACCCTTTAAAGCATACAGCAGCTCCTCACCACTGAGATGGGAAACAGAATCCAAGCAGCGGCTCACCAGGAGGCCTCCGCGAGTCACGGTGCTGACTGCACGGAGGCTGCAGAGGGGCCGAGGCGGGCTAGCCCGAGAGGGGGCTGGTTTGTCTCGGGCTGTCGCCTGCTCTAGCTGGGTGCTGTCAACGCCACGCTGCAGCCTCAGGCTCCTGCTCTGGGCTCGCTTCATGTCTGCCCGCTCTCCGTACCCCTTCAGATGCGCCCCACGAATGATCTTCTGATGGCTCCGAGCACACGCCTCATCGTCTCAGCGCAAAGGACTGCTGTACACACGGCCATTCGCAGCCAGGCTGGACAGTCCACATGCAGCCCCGCTCAGGTCTGAGGCCCCCGCGAGACTGTCCTGAAGGTCACCACGCTGTGAAGCCACTCCTGGGCTGCACTGTTCTGCGTGGAGCTCCCTCCACCTTCTGCTATCTCTCCGTGGACAAAACCAGATTTTCTTGTGGAAATTAAGGCTAAAATTTGAGTATTTCTCACCATTTGTTCTGCATAAATAGTACCAAGGTCTAATTGTTTTACTGTGACCGAAAGAAATAGGAAAAGAGATAGGTGTAAATTAATCTGGCATTTCAATATTACAATTAAAACAAATGAGAGGCATAAATTAACCTGGCATTTTATATTACAGTGAAAACTAAGCTTATTCTGTTTTCCTTAAGTTGAGTTTCTTTCTGAGGTTGGCAGCTTGAACACTTTTAAATGGAACTAAAAGAGTGAAGGTTTGTGCAGCTTGGAGGCTTTTAGCTCCCTTGGCAGGACCCTGTTTGAAACTGTTTTACCTGCCTTTTCCCTGTCGTCTCACCAGCAGCACGTCGCGTTATGCAGTTCTTTGCAGCCAAGGACCTGCGGTATTGGCTGGGGTCTTTTCTTGCCTGGCGGTGGTGACAAAACTCTGACAGCTGCGCTTTCTGTCTCTGCAGAAGGAGGAGGCAAAAAGCTGCGGAGCACCGTCCAGAGGAGCACGGAGACGGGGCTGGCAGTGGAGATGAGGAACTGGATGACCCGGCAGGCCAGCCGCGAGTCCACCGACGGCAGCATGAACAGCTACAGCTCCGAGGGAAAGTGAGTGGGCGCTGCGGGGTGTGGCTTTGTGTGCTCTGCTCTCCCGCTCCGCCCACAGGTGGACTCCCAGTGGGCAGCCAGGCTCACTTGCCACTGAGCAGACTGACCTTGCAGGCTTCCGTGCTGAAGGAGGCAGATTTCTGCTCTACTGACGGGATGCTAACACGTGACTGTCACATCCAGGCATTTAAACCGCATGGCCTGCTGTGCACTAGTAGCTGACGAGCACAGATCAGTAAGGGCTCTCGCCACACTGTGTGGACTATGCTAATTTTTAAAAACTTTGGTCTGCCTGAGAATCATTATTTTCAAAAACAGAATGCTGATACATACCCAGTTTCCTGAAATAGCAGTTACCTTTCATATAATTTATATGATACTTACTTGCATGTGGTAATGATGATCATGAACTAATATACCATAAAAGTGGAATTGGCATGGTTTGAAGCTAAGTCTATGTCAGCATATTTTTATTTTAATGAATAAATTATATGAAGTATACAACCAAAAGGAAATGCACTAGAGTTGGCGAGCGTCTTCTCCATGCAGTCACATGAAGCTTGCCTGTGAACCAGTGGCCTTTGGTACTTTAAAACATTTCTGACAATCATGTGGCCCTGTCCCAAAAGGTCCATGGCAGTAGTGACCACAGGTCTGTGCAGGGGTGGTAAAGGATGTGAATGGAGGAAAACAGGTTTGTGGCTTTTATGTTGCTGTCGCCCTGGTAGCACAGATGCCTGGACCCGTGTGCACCCAGCATGCGGATTGGCAGTTGTCGGAACCACTGACTTGGCGTAGGGACAGGCATGTGGGTGGGCCCTCTGCCGGATGCCTTGGCAGTGAGATGCCTGTGGACTTCTGACACTTTTAAATCACTAGGATAGCTGCATAGATGTGCCAAATGTTTGTGACAACTGAATGTCTGGGAATTGAGATAAGGGGCAGGGAACAGATTTAATGTCCATGGAGAAATGGGGGAGAAATCAGCGTGCCCTGAACCTGGGCATGAGCACAGGAAAGGGCTGTGCAGGGTGTGCAGATGTGTGCGTGGCGTCCTCTGCTCCAGGCGCTGGCACCGACCGGGAAGTGGGGCGCACACTCACAGAACCCTCAGCTGCATGTGCACCCAGCACCGGTACACCTAAGTCAGGCTGCAAGTCCGTGTCCTGCTCACAGCCCGGGTCCGTGTTAGGACTGCGGCCCGGAAACTTCGCGCAGGCCTGGCTCCCTTGAGTCTTTGGTGTTGGAGAAGCTTGGGCAAACTGCTTCTGTGTGGGTCTAAAAGGTAGATACAGCAATGACAGTAGACAGACTCCTGCCAGCTGTGCGCCAGATGAGTTCCACACACAGCATCAAAGACTAAGTGGTGAGTGCGTTGAGGAAAAAATGAGGGGAGGAGAGAGGCAAGCCATAATGTCCTGTGGGGTTGGAGTCACGAGGGGGGCGCCCCACAGGGCTCCGGCTCCAGCCACCTTTCCCAGATCTGTAGGCAGCAAAGAACTTGTGGCCACCTCTGGGGAGTGGGCTCTGACTTCAGTTTTGCAGGCCAGGCTGATCCTAAAGGGGTGATGCAGCTGGCAGGACAATAGTGGTGTTAGCCCTTCCGGGGCTGGGTTTACCCTGGTGCAGACGAGGGAGATTTACTAGTGCGTTTGGTAATGAGCCACAGGCCTAAGCAATGAACGTGTTTCTCATTGACTCTGAGGATGAAGTTCAAGTCCCAGATACTGACAGGTCTGTCTCTTCTGGGGTCTCCTTCAGCTTGCAGGGGCTGCCTTGAGGTTTCTAGTGGCCTTTCCTCTGGGCTCAGGTGCTTATGAACTTACAAGAGATACAACTCGGTCCACAGCAGAGAGGAAGGGAGACATGTCCATGTGGGCAAGTGGAGAATGCAGCAGCCATGTGTTAGGGCTGGGATCCTCTCTGAGGATCAGAGTTCGGTTTTTCTGTTTAGATCTTTGGGGATCAGTTTTGGACAACTTATGATGCAAATGCCTGTGAAGCACCCAAGCAGCTGGGTGGACTGAGCAGTTGTGATACCGTAACTCTGAGTTGGAGAGACTACTGGGCATAGCCAGATGCAAGACAATGAAAACTATGAGCGAGATCACCAGGGATTCAGACAGAGAACAGAAGAGAAAGCCCTGCAAGTGACACCCAGCACCCTGGGAGGCCAAGGCAGGAGGAGGGAGAGTCCAGGCCCAGCCCGGGCAACTTAGAGATTTTAGCATGACCTTGTTTCAGAATGAAAAAGTGCTTAGGATGTAGCTCAGTATGTAGACTTTGGGTTCAGCCCCCAGGGGGGCTGCAGAAAAGGAAAAAGGGAAAGAGAAGAGGTTAGAGGACTGTGCTGAGTTACTTAGCAGCTAACTAGCAAAGGAGGCGACAGCTGAGACAGGAAAGAGGATGACAGACATCCGAGCCCAAGGCTCGCAATGCTCCCACTGCAGCCGAGCCTGTGCCACCCCACCCAGCCACGGCGGCAGCTGTCCCAGGAAGTGCAGGGGATAGGTAGGGTGGATGCAGGAGCAGGGCCAGGGTGGCTCGCCTGGGGCCCCTCGCACAAAGAAGCAGTTTGCAGGCTGCCAGAGGGGGGGAGGAGGGCACCTCCGTACTGGAGCTGGTCTCCATGTCGCTGAGTGGGAAGAGCTGGTGACAGGTGCCTGGCCCACACTGAGTGTCAAGGAAAGACCTCGCAGCCCTGCCTGTGGATAGGAGCGGGACATTTTAGTAAACAGAGGCCTGAGGTGCAGCGGCAGGGTCTCAGTGACACAGGGCATCGAGAGCCATGGGTGGAGTGGGGGTAGCATCCGACAGAGGTGAGTGGCAGGCAACAGGGCAGCTGTCTGCCACCCTCCTGGCTCTCAGGAAGCAGAGGGTCTGGGAACTGAAGCCTGCCTGTTGTTCTGTCCGCAGTCTGATTTTCCCTGGCGTCCGCCTGGCCTCTGACAGCCAATTCAGCGACTTCCTGGACGGCCTGGGCCCCGCGCAGCTGGTGGGACGCCAGACGCTGGCTACTCCTGCCATGGGTGAGTTTGTCCCGACCTGCTCTTAGGTGCTTGAAAATTATATTCTCTCAGTTCCAGATCTGTCGCAGTGTTACAAGGAGTGAAGCATCTGACATGTTCACAATGAAAGCTTATTTTTCCTATTGTAATTTTTAATGATTTTTAAAGGAACACATTGATAACTAAGATATTAGGAATATAAATAAAGCTAACAAACACAGGGGAATGGCATTAGGCAAGGCCTTGGGCACAGAGCTCCCTCTCCCCATGCTGACAGTGAGCTGTGTTTGTTCCCCTGGTGCCACTAGGTGACATCCAGGTAGGAATGATGGACAAGAAGGGGCAGCTGGAGGTGGAGATCATCCGGGCCCGAGGCCTTGTTGTGAAACCAGGTTCCAAGACACTGCCAGGTAAGAGCAGGGCAGGTGGACTGCTGTCCACAAGCCCAGCTTCAGTTTGGGGGCTTTGCTGGTTTTTGCGGGGGGCTTGGTTCCTCGTTAGATCAGGGATGGAGATGGGAGGCAGTCATCTGACTGGTTTGGGGCTCTAGAAGTTTCTGTTCAACCAACACGAGTGTTTGGTGTCCCTGGTGGGATTTCTGTGAGTGCAAACCACCGCCAAAGAAAAGACCACCAAGGACTTCAACTTTTCATTTTGTCACCGGGTACCCAAGAACTTCTTGCTTCTGTCGGCTGGTGCTTTGTCTTCTGCAGTTTATCTGGAGCTCAAAATTCTCGTGGGCAGCAGAGGCTTTAGAGTCGGAGGAGAACAGGGGCCCCCAGTGGCACCAGCCACGCACGCTGGGTGTCCTGATTACAGGGTTTGAGGACAGAGAGGCGCTATCACACCCCTCCAGGCCACATATTTCCACTGAAAGGCCACCAGGTGTGGACAGCGACTCGGTGCACTGTGCAGGGGTCACTGGGTGCCATGCAGAAAGCCATCTGAGAATTCTGAAACTGGCCTCCAGCCTCAGCGCCTCGGCTGACCAGCTCCTCAGCCTGAGTCTCTTGGCATCCGCATCCCTGCAGAAATCAGATTCACAGAGATGCTCCCTGGTGGCCTGTCTGGCAGTACATGCTCAAGGACTTGGAGCCAGTCGGCCCACTCTGTCCCAGGGAATGTCCTGATTTTTACAGTGTGATGTGGTTTTTAGGTAACATCTGCTAGGTAAGTTTTGAGCCATAGAATTCATCACCGGCTGCCTCCTCGCAGCCAATCCCAGCACATGACATGAATTCTGCCTGGTGCCCACGTCCGCACAGTGAGTAAACACCTTGCAGAGCGAGTGGTGCAAGCCGGATCACATAGCACAGCCCTGAGCCAAGCCCTGGCAGCAGAGATGAGCATGGCTCCTGACTGTTCCTGCAGACGTTCGCCTGACTTAACTTTGCACCCACGTAATCTGTCGACAGCAGAATAAAGGCCTCCACCCCGCGCCTCTCAGGGTGTTGGGGTTGCTCCTTGCCCTGCCCCTGTCAGGGTGCTGGGGTTACCCCTGCTTGTGTACCAGTCCTCCCCCAGGGAGCAGGGCCAGGCCTGATGGTGGCAAAGCTTGCTGGAGCCAGGTGCCCAGCCATGCACACCTGTGTTCCCTCTGCTCTCTCCCCAGCACCCTATGTGAAGGTGTACCTGTTAGATAACGGAGTCTGCATAGCCAAAAAGAAAACCAAAGTGGCCAGGAAAACGCTGGAGCCCCTGTACCAGCAGCTGTTGTCCTTCGAAGAGAGCCCGCAGGGGAAGGTGTTACAGGTACTCGCTTGCTGCTCCCCTCCGTTCCCGGAGTCACAATGCGTCCACTGTCCTCACTGCCGAAGTGCCCTGAAATGCCGTCCAGCTTGTGTCCTGTGACGCCAGCCTCCCTGCACAGTTCCTGCAGCTGGGGATTCAAGTCTGAGAGACAGTCATCCCACTGATCGTGACCTCTAACTTGCCTTTCTTCTCTTTTTCACCATTGGGAATAGCCCCAAGGCCTGGCGCGAGCTAGGCAAGCATTGTACAGCTCAGCTAGATCCTCAGCTACTTAAAAATTTCATTTTGAGACAAAAGTTTTGCTAACCTGCCCAGGCTGGACTCAAACTTGCAATTCTCCTGCTTCAGCCTCCCAAGTTGTCACAGGGATGTGCCACTGGGCCTGGCTTAATTAATTTGAAGTTTGATATCAGAACATTACCAAAAATAATTTAATTAATTTGTTTCACATGTGTTCTGTTGTGCATGTGATTATACTGACATCGCTTTATTTCTGTCAATAGATCATTGTCTGGGGCGATTACGGCCGCATGGATCACAAGTCCTTCATGGGAGTGGCCCAGATCCTTCTGGACGAACTGGAACTGTCCAACATGGTGATCGGGTGGTTCAAACTGTTCCCCCCTTCCTCCCTGGTAGACCCGACCCTGGCACCTCTGACAAGGAGGGCCTCGCAGTCCTCGCTGGAGAGTTCAACAGGACCTTCTTACTCTCGTTCATAGCAGCTGTAAAACTGTTGTCACAGCAACCAGCGATACAAAAAAACGTCCATAGGTCGCAAGCCCTGGTGACACTGCATGCCTCACGTCTTCTGAGCCCGTGTCTGGGTGCGGAGCGGTCCTGCGTTCTCAGTGGAAGGCGTACACATTGTGCGCTAGCCGAGGTCCCAGGTGGTGAGTGGCGTGGTAAGAACTCCCAGGTCCAAGCCGAAGCCCTGGGTTCATCTCAGAGAGTCGGTCTGTCTCGCGCAACAGAAGCCCTTTTCAATGGCACTTTCTATTTTTATGGTTCCTTTTTCTTCGTTTATCTGACCCAAAGCCTGGTATGCCACAGTGGTGGAGCTCTCCGGCCTAAAGCCATGTCACAGGTCCAGGCCGGGTCCTCAGGAGCACTGGTGAAAACAGAAGACCAAAGAAGTGGCTGGAGCAGGCGCCGCTGTCCAGCTGGCTGGGGCCCAGTGGGCAGCGCGGCAGGCGGGCAGCTTAGCAGGACGTCGTGCTCCAATGCCAAGATGTGTCGGACTCTGAAAACCAAATTCTGTGGCTACACTGTATGGATGATATTAAAGACACTTTTTTTGCATGGACACAGATTAGCTGAATACTTATTTTCTTGGGGCTGCAACTTGCAAAAAAAAAAAGAATAAAAATCAGCCATTTTCAACAATTTATATTATTTTTAAAAGTAAATTTGACTAGTGCATGGTTTTAAAACTGGGAGAGAATGCAGGGTGACACAGCCACACCGTGTTTATTCTTTATCGACGTAGTCTGTATTTTGGCAGACACCACAGGTGAAAATACTTTCTAAAAGATACTTAAAATTCTCTTTATGTGACAAATAGATACAATATATTCCATTTATTTCCATGCTAAATATACAAATCCTGTGAAGTTCAATGTGTGCAAATTTTTCACATCTCCCTTCTTTTCCTGTCCACTTTTCTTCTTCTTCTAGTCTTTTATTTTCCTTTTCCCTCCCAGAGTGAACCTTACACTAAAAAATGACAAAGTTTTTGATCTGACTCTCTTATACCCGGGTGTAATTCAGAGCTGCAGCTGCTTCCGGATGTATGAGTTTCTGACGGGAGAAAGGTCCTGTAAGGGCTCTTCTTCCTGCAAGCGTGCTGGAAAGGGTTTTGCAGCGCAGCTCCGGAGTACGGCAAAGTCGGTCAGCATGGATTTAGCCACGCAGACATTTAAACTTTTGCAGTTCATTGTACAATGCATGGTCTGTTTTTCATCTTCAAAATTCTGTTTACAAGACACCCTGCAGCCATGTGGCCACCATAATTTCTAACAGAGTTGCTTTAGCACTTGCTGTGTTCACATAGGGGTTAAACTATTGCTAAAGCCTTACGTTTTGTTTTAATTTGTTAGGGCAGTTTCTTCAGCCAGTTCCCATGTACTGTGTGGCTAGATACACTGCAGAAACTGGGAGCCCTGAGACAAAGGGCAGTTTATTAATTCACTTCTCTGTAGTAGAATTCAATTTTTCACAAATTATATTTCCAAGGTAACATAATAGACATAAATTTGCAGCAATTTTAAAACTCCAATTTCTAGGTGACTAGGAGAAAGTCACTGTCTGTGAACAGTCCTGTGACACCATCACCGCAAGTCTCCATGCAGATCCCGAAGTGAAACCCGGCCTCCGGTCTCGCAGTCAGTGCTGCCGTTGGGGCCGCGGCTCGGTCTCGGGAACCGGGCTCCGCCTCAGCACCGCTGTCCATCGCCTGTGCTTCCTAGTTCTATAGGCGCTTTGACAACACATTCTCATGGACTGGGTTTATTTTGTTGCAGTCATTTTTGAAATCCACATGTCTCCTGTTTGTTTAAGTGAAAGCCATGCACAAAAATTACTCTGTTTTTCTAAATTCAGTGCTGACCGTTCAAAACCTCCGTGCTTGATATGGTGCAGAAGATGAGGTGAGTCTCACTAAAACGCCTCCCCTTCGGTGCGATGGGGCCACCGGGTGCGATGGTCCAGCGGGGATGGCGGAAGAGCGGAGAGCGTGTACCGAGGGCCTGGCCTCCTGGGCACCAGCCGCAGCTGATTGCGTGGGCCTGCGGTGTCTGCGCCGCCCCTTAGACTAAGCGTTCATGGTGTCCTCACCCTGAGAGGCAGTCCCCAGATCTCCCGTGTGTGTTCCTGCACAAATTACTTCTGATTTTAATAAGAAGGACATGGCCGTATGGGATGTTTGTACATACTTGTCATTCCGCAGTATTTATTTAAAAATCAGTGTGGTTTTTTTTTAATTTTCACATGTCTGCACCTCGACTTGTGGTTCAGTTGTGTAAATAGCACTAAGCTGGTGACCACTGCTGCCCTGTACATAGTAGATTTTAACATAAAGGGAATTCCAGCCGGAAACGAAAGGGCAGATGAGTCCTGTAACAAACACCCACGACTGTAAATCGAGTTCATTCTGGTGATGGTATTTACCACTTTCAATAAATCATTTTCTTTACAAATGGTGTGTGCGCTGCCCTGTGACTTCACGTCTCCCACTTGTTCCCTCAGCTCCCTGCAGACCCAGTGGGGACAGGGGTGGGGACCCCCTCCCCACACTCCAGGGGCACCCTGCGCAGCCCCAGAGAGCAGGAGGTTTCTGTGTGAGGCAGATGAGAGTCCAGGCAGACAGGGCCTGGGCCTGGCCAGGGCTCTCCACTTCCTCAGGTCTCGGGGCTTGGGCGTCACTGCACTCAGGAGGTGACCGGGCCGTGGCTGACCTGGCCCATGTCACTGGGGTGCAGTGTTTAACCCCTCAGAGCAAGGTGGTCACTGTCCTGTCTCAGGCTTCAGCTTCACCGACCGAGAGGCTCCTCAGCCTCCCCTGACCCTGTGGGCTTTGAGGGCCAGGCTTGTTTTCCAGGTCCCACCCAGCCCGAGGCCCCATGACTCCAGTGTCCCCTGCAGTCCCCGCCCAGCCTGGTGTTCCCTGTGCCCTGTGGCGGGCACTCACCCTTCCCATTGGAGCAGTGCTGTCACGGGCCACGCCCCAGTGCTTTGCAGATCCTCCTGTGAGTCCCTGACACGCCTGACGTCCCCTCCGCCACCAGAGCAATGCCTGCTGCTCCCACGCCTGGGCAACAGCAGAGGATGCACTGGTGGAGGCAGAGCACCACGTGGAAGCTGTGGCGGGAAACTCCCCAAGCCAAAGCAGACCAAAAGGAAGTCCGCAGTGAGGGGAGGAGGCAGCATGTAAGCTTTGGAGTTCACGCCACTGCGCTGAGGCAGGGACCACTCCTCCCATGCAGCCGCCCCAAATCAGGAAGGAGTCTGTAGAGGATTACCAGTACGAGCTACAAAGCATGTGACCGGACGTCACATGGCTGGTTACCTGCCTTGAATCGTATGTTGACAGGCAGGCTGGTCTTGAAACAATAGAGATGCCCAGGAGCCAGGGGCGGGGCCCTGCAGAATGAGCACAGTGCAGGGCATTGCCATGGTACAGGAATGCCCTGGAGAGAGGGTCTCTGCTGCATGGGCACACATCAGCCCAGGGTGCTTAGGGTCCAGACAATTACCAACTTAGTGCCCATCTGCAGCTGGGCCGTGTGCACTGTCGGGGGCGACTGAGTTTAGCAGAAACAGCAGAACAGCAACTGGCCAGAGACTCTAACTGGTCATGAAATGTCTGTAAGTTTACCATCGCATGAATGCTTCTGCACAGTAATGGTGCCCCAACCTTTGTTGGGGCCACAGCCCCCACGGCCCGTGCTCATACGCTTCCCCGCTGCTGCCAGCCGGGGCCGCAGCCAGTGGGGGTGGGGAAACTGCACCAGCTCCTCCACCAGGGCTGGCTGCCCGGTGGCCTGGCTCCCTGGGGCCAGGACAGAGCCCAGCTCTCCATCCCTCGCCCAGCACCCTGACCCTCTCTGCTCTACCCGGGGTGAGACCAGGCTTTATCTTCCTTTTCCTCCTCAGTATTAGGAACCAGGCTCACCGCACAGGAGCCCTGCTTTCCCGGGGCACTGTCCTGGGCGTGGCAGGAGATGGAACACCCAGCCCGGCCCTCGGAGGACGTAGCTGAGTGAAGGCTGTGATCGTCCTCCCCTCCGGGCCTGAACCAGGGTGTCCTGGAGTGCAAGGCATTCAGCCTGGGCTAGAGGGGCGGGTGGACCCCTCAGGCAGAGGGGGTGAGAGGGAGCCCATCCAAGCAAAGGACTGAGGGTTGGGGGGTCATTATTCTACCACATTTTATTACTTTACAGCATCTCAAACAGTGGTCAGCACGTAGGACGTGCTGCACCCTGGCTACTTCTGAAGCACCAAAGGGACTCTGTTCTGGTTGTTCTTGTCATTGTTTTCTGAGACAGGCTCTCGCCCTGGGGTCCAGGCTGGCCTTGACCTCCCTCGGTCGCCCAGGCCGGCCAAAGTGTGAGGGAGTCCTGTGTGGAGGGACCAGAGGATCCCCTGTGCCTGGCCGTGGAGCTTTGCTGAGAAGCTGGTTTTCGTTTAGACTCCATGCAAGATCCGCTTGTGAAGGGGCTGAAGTGGCTGAGCCTCTGTGCAGAGTCATACTTCAACGGCTCCTCATATGGCAGCTCGGTCCCTCGTCCCATCAAGTTGTCAAGTCTGAGCATAAAAGGCACAGCCTGCAGTCCTCCCGCATAGCAGCAGCTCAGTGTCCAGCACAGGGGAATCCATTACGGCTGAGCTGAGCAGGTTCCTGCTGCAGGAGGTTCTGGGTGCTGCTGCGTGCATCACACAAGGATGAGCCCGATGAAACTGTAGAGCCCTGATGCAGCCCTGAGGTTCCCTGGGGTAACCTTGCAGCACGCAGGGACCCTGAGGTGGCCCCCAGCCTCTGCTTTGCAAGTGGTTAGAGAATTTCAGTGCAGTGGACCACAAGCTTATGCTAACTGCCCTTCCTGTGTTTTGACTTTCTGGGATGACCACTGGCTTCTCAAAATAGGAAGCAAAGGGCTGGATGCACCTTCCGCAGGATGGTCCTGCAGATATTATAAATTAGCATCTTAGGGTGCCCAACTTTAGAGAGCAAGACAGCATGGTGGTGGAAAGTATGGTTTCTGCCAAGACTCAACATCTGCTCGCTCACCTTTGCTAGCTACCTACGGGCCAGTCACCCTGAGTGGGTTTTCTCGTCCATGTGGTGGGGAAGCCTGGGGCAGCAGTGACTGCTGACCCTCAGGTGACTCGGGAGGGCCTGGAGGGAGGGGTCCACCTTTGCTGTGGAGCAGGTGGAATCACTTTTCTTTCTCTTCCTGGTCACTTCTAATTCCTTCAGCAACTCATCATCCTGCCTGCCCTGCCTGGAACTGAGCCAGCAGCTCCAGAGGGACACTGGCCACACAGGCTCCCGAGGACCTGGCCTCTGAGGCACTTTCTGTCCCAGCTCGCCATCTCCCAGGTCTCTCAGGAAGCAGCCTCCTCAGTCTGGCGCTGGGGTATTACTTTTAGCCAAGCCCAGATATAAAGTGCTCTTGGTAAATCCTTTTTATGAATTTTGTCCAGCCGAGATGACCATTCCCATGTCGTTCACTCTGAACTACGTGAAGTCTTATGACTCATCAGGGGCCTTAACTGTCCCTGTGGGTCCTGACAAATGTAATCTCCTCTTGCTTTGTCCACCCTTTTGATCAAATGTTGGCTAACAAATAGGGCCGAGGTCAAAGCCTTGCAACCATCCACGGGTGACCGTGGGCATCCCCAGTCAGGAATTACTGGCACGTGATACTCGAGATGCCCTCAGTATACGCGATCTGAGCTCCTAACTCTGGTGTACGAGGGAAGTATTTTTAATCTTTATTCCACAGCCATGAGAACAAACCTGGCTCTCCTGACAACAGGTTGGGTCACTCGGGCCATGGTGAGGCTGCTCAAATTCACCCTGTGTTTCCAGCTTCCTTGCTCAGGCAACCCATGATTTGCAAGATACAAATGCGCTCTGTGTATTCCAGTTTTCTCAGGGAGCAGCTCGTAGCTAATGCATGAGGAGTGGGGAGCGGGGAAGAGGCCGCTGGTGACACCGAAGCTGACTGTGCCCAGCGTCACGAGGGGGAGGGGAGGGTTCATCGGGACCAGGCAGGCGGGCAGGAGAGGCCAGTGGCACAAAAGCTGGCTCCTGACTTTAGCATCTTCTCATTTCCACTTGAAGACTCCCTGTGCAGACAACAGGGACAGACTCAGAGGACACTGCAGCATCTCCACTCTTGTCTCTGAGGAGCAGAGCAATCCTCGCGGCCCCCAGAGACCTGCCAGGCCAGCCGGTGGCCTGGCGCGCTTCGCCAGGCTCCTGGCCCCGAGCCACGCCTCCGCCCTCCCTGCGCCCTGGCGCATCCTGTGGTAGCGAGGGTCGAGGTGGTGGACAGCAGCGCCTCTCTGGACGACAGTTTTCCTTTATTGTTTATTTACCTTCTTCCTCCTCTTCATCCACTTTCTCTCTCCTTCTCTTCCTCCTCCTCCTCCTCCTCTTCTTCTCTTTATTCTCCCTTTTTTCCTGTTCTTGGCCTGCTTCCTCTTCTCAGTGGAATTATAGGTTAATAATTTTATTTTTCCTGGAGTCTTCTTAGATAAGCCATGACCACTCCTGCAAGAGCATCAATCATACTTCCGCTGAACTTTTCAGATGTCAATCAAAACTCCAGTCAAAACACCATCCATCCCCGCCCTGGCCCGACTGGAGCCCAATGTGCCATGCCCCCAGCATGCGCCTGCTCTTTACACCACGTTTTTTTCTCTCTGTACTAAACTGACTTGTCCCTGGACTGCCCAGAAAGTGCCATTTATGTTCTCTGGCCACACCTACAAAACCACCCCACCAGCTCACCAGCTGCTATGGGGACGGGACCTGTGATGTCCCCAGCACCAGGTGAGGTAGTACAGACACCCAGGAAGCACAGTGCTAGGAGCATCAGGGGTGGCCGGGACATCCAGAAACCTTCTGGTTCCCTGTTGGGCTGCCCGCCTGCCCTGGGACCTCCCCGGGAAGCACAGCCCCTGGATAACAGTGCCCAGGCCAGTGTCCTTCTGGGCTAGAGTCAGGATGGGAAAGGAAGCTGCAGAGGACCATGGGAGATGGGGGACCCCATAGCTCCCCAGGGGGAAATCCCAGCTGCTAGGAGAAAGGCCTATGTTGCCCATTCATTCCTGATTTCTTACAGAGCTGTGCGTGCTGACTTGAATTGCTCACGCACGTGACACTTAGCAGAGCAAAAGAGAAATAATAATAATAATAAGTCAGACAAATAAAAAGAAGAACAAAATAATCCCTAGATCTTTGTGCAGAGTGGAGAGGAGAGAGTTGACCGTCTTGGACATTCTGTTTGGTAAGTGCTGAACGATTAAGAGTCGACACGGTCAGACTTCAGGACAAGCCTGTGCCTCAAGACCGTTAAAGAAAGAATCCTGAACTCAGAGCCAGAAACCCAGCTCTTCAGGGCCTTCTCGCAGACCAGAGTGAAGGGGCCCAGGCTTGAGCCCAGCTTAGGCAACTTGGAGTTAATAT